GATTTTTAGCAAGGTGGGCAACAAGCTGATCTCAGTATTGAACACTGTATTTCACTATGAAGTCAGTCAGCTGAAAAGCAATAATTTACAAGATCTACCTCCTCTGTTCCTGGGGGGCTATTAAAATGCTGCTAGGGAAAAAATACAGTGAAGGAAGTGTTCAGTAACACAAGAGCCAAGCATTTAATCTCTGTCTGCCTTCTGAAGATTGTTCACTTGCCTTTTGAAGATTGCTTCCTGAGCAGGTTGACTCAAGGAGAGGTCTTTCATTTCAGGCAACCAATATGATGCCGTATTTTACTGAATTACCCCTGCAAGGGTAATTATATCAACATTTTTGAAAACCATGAGTTAAGCATGACATTACTAATGACCCTGCTTTGTGACTGCAGGGCCCGCCAGGCTCCTTTGACTTCCTGTTGCTAATGATGGCAGACATCAGAAACGACATCGCCGAGCTGCAAGAGAGAGTGTTTGGACACAGGACTCACTCATCGACGGAGGAGTTTCCGTTACCTCAGGAATTTACAAACTATCACGACACAGTAGATCTTGGTTCGGGGGAAGACTACAAACCACGGGCAGCACCCAGAGACTCCAGGATACAGAAAGCAGCCCATCCTTAGCTAGGCCTACTGAAAAAGAGCCTCTTAGAGTTGTTCCATATAAAAATGCACTGACAATGTAAAAATATATATATTTGTATATTTTCCCATTTTCTCTTTGCTTTTCCCCAACTGTGCTGCTCATACTGTAGCTTTCTCAGTTCACAGTGGCCTCCTTGCAGTAATTCCGTATCATCAAACCTGCACTCTGCATTGTGTCTAGACTACAAGGAAAGCCTTTCTGGCATATAGGGCTAGCATATTAAGCAATGCCCTAGCTAATGGGACAGACAACAGCATCTCATCTACATTTGATTAGTGTCCAAATGACCCCGTACCTAGACTCTTGCCAGAGATGGAGGGATAGCTCAACATTGTCCTTGAAAGACATCAGTACAGAAAACATAGGTCCAGAGTTACTTTATACATGCAAAAAAAAAATACATCACTGACCTCAAATTCTCACCTAGTGTCCCCAAGCTTAGGAACTGTGAAGGGTAGATACCCGATTCACAGATGAGGCCAGCAGCAGCTGAAATGTGCCCTTCTAATAAGTCTTGTCACAGCAGGGTGAAGGGGAAAATGGCCAAAACAGTGATATAAGGGCACTGCTTTTTGACCTGGAGATGATTTGGTTTTGTATTTCTACAGTGTATTATGCAAAGAGAGTCAAGATGCGTCTCACCTAAGGTACCCCTACTTCTCCCTTGGTTTTCTCCTGCTGCTCAGTGTGGGAGTGAGTCCCTTCCTCAACAGGTTCCTACTGAATACGTCGCAACAGGGATGAGCAAGAGAATGGGAAACTTATGAAGCAGGAAAAACAACCCAATTTAGTCAAGTAGTTTGAGTAAAACAGAGATCAAAGAGAGGCCTCAAGTTTGCATGAGACAAAGAGCTGCCATCGCTTTTGTTCCTCTGCCATGTGAGAGCCATCTAACTGGCATTTACCGAGCTGGAACGCAGAGCTGCAGCGTATTGGGTTGATGTTCGAGGAGCATGAGTAGGTGCAGGTCCCCACATGGCGAAACACTACACCTGGCACTTGGGTAGCTAAGGCAAGGGATGCTATATGTGTAAAGAGTGATGAAAGGAAATGCCTTTCTTTTTTTTTTTTTTTAACACTGGAAAACTGGATGTGTGAGTGGGTGATGTGTTACCGTTACTTTGGGTTTACCACAGCTGCTGAGAACTTTGCCATACTCAGAAGACAAAGACGTTAGGAGATGTTAGCATGTTAAGCACAAAATGTTTAAATACCATGTGGTATCTGTGTAGCTGCTACTTCTACAGGATGTTTAGTGCTGGGACTTGCCTGTGTTGCAACTCAAAGAAAAAAATTCTCATTTTGCCATGCTTTTCAGGACTTTCCTGTTCTAAAAAGATACACATAGGGAAAAATATTATCAAGCTCTTTCCAGATCCTTTATACAGGTTTGAATTTCCTTCCATGTTCTCTGAGAAGACAGTTGTTATAATCCCTGTGCTGCTAGTACAGGTGATGTTGTATACACAGGTGGCTATTCTAGACCCATAGTATTTTTGTATAGTATCTGAAGAGTTCATTCCTGTTCCACAGCTCCACGCTGTCCGTATGCCACAAGCAAGGGCATTAGTTTTAAGAATATTAATGACTTTTTTTCCCTCTTCACACTATATGTATATCCATACAAAAAATGTAATGTATAAATCAGTGGTAGGTGACAGCTTAGGAAAAATGAGTGTTCTCACCCTGTGGTGTTTGGGTTTCCTTTCTGTGAGGAGCATTTTCAGCAGCTGCAGATCCAAGTAAACCCCATTGCAGATCCAGGCAATGGATCAGTGAGATTTAGGTAGAAACTTGTAACCAAAAAGGGATGGTCTCATGGGAGCAGAATGAAACTAGCTGTAGGACTAGCAGGTCTATTTTCTTATTTCCAAACAGGTAATTGGGTATAAATGACACAGCTCATCAATATGCAATTTTAAGTATATTTGTCAAATGCCATATTATGTATACGCTTACTCTCCTGCATGTTACCCTCCCCAACACCTGCTGGATCAGGTTGATTTCTACTACAGAATTAATAACTGCAGTTTCTTGAACAATATCTAATAAGTTAAGAGTCACTTCCTACATAGCAAGTAAATTTTATCCCCGCTATCCCCTACCCACAAGGAACAACTGTCCTTAAAAAAGAAAAAAACAAAAAGGAAAAAACTGTCACTTGCTTTAGTTCTAAGCTGTTTTTTTCCAAATGTAAACACTAAATCAGATGCTTATACAATTAGATCACCAAATTTGGGAGAGTGAGGAGGGAGAATGCCCTGTTATGCAGAAATATCCACAGAAATGAAATTTTGACACTGAACCTGAAGGGGAGAAAAAAATATGTATGCCTCAAGGTGAAGAAAAAAAAAAAAAAAAGTCCTAGAGAGTCACAAACATCAACGAGGGCACATATGTAAGTGCCTCCTAAAAGTGGAGCTCAGCATCCTCCCTTTCCAGAATCTGCATCATGATTTTTTTACAGCCTGGAGCTGAGTTTCCAAAAGCAATGCTTCCTCCGCCAGAGAGGATGACATGGAAGGGGAGGATGGAAACCTGCTGGATTTTGTCCCTGTGCTTTCCCTCCCTCTGTCCATAGACTCCCAGCAGCTGGGGGCTCAGTTCCAGCGGTGGGGATACAACAGCAAGGACAAGGCCACTGCAGGGAACACGGGAATTCCTCCGGCAGGGAGAATCCCTTTGGAGCACAGGCAGTTGGGAAGGTTCAGCCTTCTGCCCACGTGGAGATCTTTGTACAGACCTTTCTTATTTTATATCTGAATAACCATATGATAACTGTCATAATACAAAGATTGTATCAGAAACTGTTTTATTAAGGTATCATCTTCTACAGAAACACACACAAACTCTCAGAAAATCTTCTTCACACTAAAAATTTTACAAATCCAGACCAGGTTAAATGCTTCCAATTTTGAGCATGGTTACTGGGGAGAGGGGAAAGCCATTAGCTTGTAAGTTATTTATTACCCTATGGCTCCAAAATGACATTAAATCTCCAAATAAGATTATAAAAACATGTACACTCATGTCTAGTTTTATTGCTAGGCTCATGCACATGACAACTTTTGTTTCATATAGTTAAATACTATGTATAATTTTATTAGAAAGAGAGATTATTTTGATGTTAAGACATCGTTATAAGCAGAAGGATAATAAAGAGTTTGTTATTTTATTAATATTGGAAATATATTTAACAGAAACATTTGCAAAAGTGCATAATGCTAGGAAAATGGTGATTGTTTGTGGGTTTAAAAAAATTGAAAGCTGGGAAAATTTCTTTCAACACTGTGCCAAGTACATACAGGATTAGTCTTTCTTGCAAAACTGAAATACTGACACAAAAGAATTCCTTTATGGTCAGATTAAAACGGGAAAAGGAAAGGAAAATTGATTATAAATGGAGAGAAGGTAATCCCTGCAGTTATTGTTGGTATCACAGCTTGAATAACCTTTCTTTTCTCCAAGTATTTCAGAGTTAATATGTTAAACCCCAGTGAAGCAGCGGAAGATGGGGGTGGGATCCAAGAATTTGTTCTTAATTTCACATAAAAGTCAGTATGTTTGTTGCTATCTCACATTCCAATAGCTATACTTTTCACTTTATTTATATAAGTATATGAAATACTAAAATGTGTACAAAATGACTGTGATTTTATGATGTATTCCTAATAACAAAGATATTTTTCTTATGCTGCTGGTAGTCACTTTTGTTAAGTAAGACGTGTCCTGAAACACGGGAATGTTGCTTGGAAGCAGGAGGAAACCTCCACCCAGTATCTTTTAACACTGTCCTCGGATCAGAACCACACAGGGTGGGATGGCGGGGTTGGATCAGAACCACACACGGCCCAGGGTGGGATGGCAGGGACAGGAATTACTGCAGAATATGCCGTGTCCCTGTGGAAATCAGGTGCTCATGCCCTTCTGGGGCTATGGTGGCGGTACCAACACTGGCTGAGCACAACAGGACCCTGCTCCTGGTGACTTCCCCACACAACTTTGGGATGAGATGTGTGGCGTGAGGCTCCCTTGATATCCTGTCACTGAGACAGAGAAGTGACAGAAAGAGATCTGGCAGCCATTGCCCGGCCTCGAGGCCATCGCCTCAGCCCGCGCCCACAGAAATGGCTCCTGAGGGTGGTATCCGCCGACGCGCCCGCCATGGCGCCAGCGGCGGGAAATGGCGCCCGGCCGGGCACTGAACTACAGCTCCCGGCATGCCTCGCGGTACCCTCCCCCAGAACTACAACTCCCGACATCCCCCGCGGCGGGCCTGCAGTGCCGCTGCGCCGCGCGGGGGCTGCCGGGAGGAGGGCGCTCCCGTGGTGCCGCGCGGCGGCGGCGGCGGGATGCGGCTCTCGGTGGCGGCCGCCATCTCGCACGGGCGCGTGTACCGGCGCCTGGGCCCGGGCCCCCGCTATCGCCTCGACCTGCTGCGCAACCTGGTCACGGCGCTGGTGCGGCACGAGCGCATCGAGGCGCCGTGGGCGCGCGCCGACGAGATGCGCGGCTACGTGGAGCGGGTGAGCGGCGGCGGGGCGGGGCGGGGCGGGGGGGACCGGGCCCGGCCTCGGCTCGCGCCTCCTCACGGCTCCGTCTCCCCGCAGCTCATCGACTACGCCAAGCGGGGCGACAGCGACGAGCAGGCCATGCGCATGGCGGACTTCTGGCTGACGGTAAGTAGGGAGCAGGGCCTGCCCAGCGCCGGCGCTGGCGGCGGCAGTACCGGGGCTGCGCTTGCCGCCCGCAGGAGAAGGACCTCATCCACAAGCTGTTCAAGGTGCTGGCGCCGCGCTACCAGCCGCACCCCGGCAAGTACACGCGCATGCTGCAGATCCCCAACCGCGACAGCCTCGACCGCGCCAAGATGGCCGTCATCGAGCTCAAGGGCAACCCCTTCCCGCCGCTCATCCGCCCGCAGCCCGACAGCGAGAGGACGCTGCTCAACCAGCTCCTCAAGGGCTACCGGGAGGACGTGAAGCGGGCCGCGCGCGCCCCCGAGGGCACCGCCGTGTAGGGCCCCGTCCGCTTCGCCAAGGAGGCCTCAGGCAAGTGCGGGGATGGCGCTTGGCGTGAGCCACCCGTGTGCGAGGCTGCAGGGGCAGCCCACGCCGTCCTGGAGCACAGGGATGGAAGGTGCCCCGGGGGGATCAGTGTTGATCCTGGGCCTTGGATTATTCTAACTGTGCCACAAGCTCAAGGTTTACTTCTTCCTTCCTGTGTTTCAATAGCAGTTCAGCGAGAGAAGGAAATCAAGCTGAGAGATTAGTACTCTTTGTGTAAATAAACGCTCTTCAGAAATGAGATTGACACTGTTCTGTTTACGTTCTTGTATACATTGTGCGGTAGTCATTTATTACAACCGAAACCTTGATGTGTTTGTGTATCTCCCTGCCTGAGCTGCTCAGCCGTTATTAGAAGCCAGTGTGCAGACATTCAGAGCTGGGCATTTATTGGCACGTTAGGCTAGTTTTGTTGCTCCAGAAGAATAATGAACGTAAATCAGAGAGGTAGCGCTGAGGTAGGCTTTCAAGGGGGCAACACCCAAGGGAATTGTGTTGTAATTAGGAGACAACAGAGGCAAGGGTAGTAGTTGTCACTCTTGACTTGAGACTGAGCTGTGGAGGTTCAAGAAACCTCCGTGGTGTGCCCTTAACATAAAAGAGAGGCTGGCTGTGCTGTCCCAGCAGGTACGGGGCTGTCTGGGCAGTGTCGCCCTTGATTTGTACTTGAAAGCTCCCTCCCGGGTCCCAGGCTGAGGTGACTGAGTATGATAGTGCCTGTATGTCACTCTTGTTGAGTGTGTAACAAGATGTGACCTGTATAGAAGGCAAGATTTAATGATGCTAGAGAACTTGCACTTTGGTAGTGCTGTGTTCTGGATTCTTATTTTGTAGGGCATCACCTCTGTGTTCCCCCTGATAGTTCCAGTGAGAAGTTAAGGATGCACAGTGAAGTTTGGCAGAAGAAGGGGAAGGGAAAGGGATTACTACCAAAACATTAACATCTCGAAGAGAGAGAGAGTGCACTTCTATTGACCATGAAGTGGTACAGCTTGTAGAAGATGACCTAACGTCTTGTTTAAAGTCATTTTTCCATACAGCAGAAGAGATGTACAAAACTGCTGCTGCTGTGTAACTTGGACATTATGTTTTCTATTTTTTTTTAACTTGAATACATTTTTTACCCTGGTAAACTGATATCCAGTGCATTATCAGCAAGCTGATGAGTCAGTATGCCGAGCTTAGCCCTCAGGGGATGGTTGTTGTGATGTGAGCAGAGATGCTGCCCCAGCTTTTCCTGGTGGAGTTTTGCTGTGATAGTGATCCTACAGACTTTGAAGGCAGAGGACAGTGCTTTCACCTGCAGTCTCTTAGAATTCAGAGCAAAAACCTGAACCCGTGTTCAGCTGCGTTACCATGAGTGCGGTATCTACCAATTTGTTTATTTTATTTGCTCAGCAAAGCAGCTTTTCTGTGGGATTAATGAAAAAACTGACAGGTAAGGCCTTAAACAGGGAGGTTTAAACATCACTCATCTGTCACATGCTTAGAAGAGAAGGGATAGTGATTGACAAACTTTTGATATAAGATTGAAAGCTATGATCATTAAAGAAAAAAATTCCTCAGGGAATAATTAGCTTCGTGTGGCACTGGCTCTGTAACACTGGCTGAACATAGATATGCCTGTGTTGGTGTTACCTAAAACATCTCATTTGTTTCAGCCAGAGGCAAGAGAAGGCAGACATACAAGTTTGTGTGGAAATACAAGTGTGAAAACACCAGTTTAGAAAGACAATTGGATAAAAAATGTTTAATGAGGAAAAGCAAACTAGAGCCTCTTCTAGTTGTCCTTAATAACTCAAGGAAGAAAAGTGTAAAAAAGCTAAAACCTTCTAATCTATGGGAAAAGTCTGGATAAAAATTCTTAATATACAGATTCTTATTGTGCATATGGGTTTTTTTGATATGTGTGTTGAGATCAGAACAGCTGACGAAGCCCTCAGTTTCACGAGCACCGTGCATAGTCCCTCTGAATGCAGTTGTTCTGCTACAGGTAGCAGTTTGTAAGGCTGCAGAGGCTTCACCATGAGGGGAGGACGTCCTGTTGGATTGTCATGTACTCCAGTGGGTCAGGCTTTCAGCTGCCTGTAGAGAAAAGCAAAAGAAAAAGTCACAGCACATGAAGCCCATTCCCTTGCATTCTGGCTGTCAGGTCTTCATGAGCCTTACAGCTGCGATACGTGCAGCTGTACAGGTCCATGAGATCCCTTTTGTGCTCTGCCCCATTCCCTCAGTGTTTCCAGGGAGGAAGGCTCACCTGACTGCAGCTTTGAGGCTCTGATACCAGTCATTAATATCTTGTTGATCGGTGGACATCAACAAAAGTGTCTTGTGTGGAAAGGAAAGCTGGAAGAGAAGCAGAATCTGGTACCAAGCCTCACCGAGGTGGCAACTCCAACACAAGGCAGGACATGCCCACTGACCTCCCAACTCAGCCCTGCGTGCAATTTCCACTATTTTTTCCCTTAGTAAAATGAAGAGTGGTGCTAGGGGAAAGCAGAGGCCGGACAGTACAAAGGCAGTGCCAAGCCTGTCTTACTGCAGACCTCCCTGCTACAGGTGACAGTTCCTTTGGGTTCCTATGCTTAATAGGATGCTTGAAAGTGGCCCATATCAGCCTCTATGTGCTTTGAGGTTTTTTTAATGCATTGTTTTTGCCTCCCAAAGACTTACACTGAGAAGCCCTCCCTGGCTCTGTGTGTGGCCGAACACTTTCTCCACAGTGCACTCCTGAAGTGGATAGACAGCCTGGCACGTGAATTTGTTCGAGTTTAACAAGTGCAGCGGATGGCAGGGCCTCGTTGCAATAAGGATATCAGAAAAAAGAAAGAACATCCTGGGCTTCAGTTCTTCTCCCTTTGAAGGCACCACCAACAACCAGCCTTCCCGGATATACCAGCGCCCTGAGTGTGCAAGGGAAACAGACAGTCGTCAATTACTGTTCAAAAATGCATTACAGCACTATAGAAATCTTGCTTTCTACCTTCACCCAACAATGTACATGCATTGCAACAATCACATTCAGGTGCTGGAGCTGTGTCTTAGAGACCCTAAAACAGAGCGACGTCGATGCTCTTCTCCAAGTGACCATTTCACAAGGGTCCAGGCTGGACATGTTTCTCACAGTGTAACTGTGAGTTACAAATTCCAGGTTACAAATTGTAACTGTTCCAAGCGTGTTCCAAATTACAGAGCTGTAACTTGGAACTTGCTCTTGGGCTGGAGAACACAGCCACACAAGAGAAACCTGTTATCTGGGGAGATGATCTTGCATGCCAGTGACTGCCACCGTATACATCTCGCTATCAATTCAAATACTCCCATTTGTGGCACTGTTAAACCAGACGGATATAAAAGATTCTTATTATGCATGATGTGGTTCATGCAGCTTAAAACAACAGTGACCCCTTCAAACTCAAAAAGGGTATGTGGGTCCTGCCTGGAGAGGGAGAACGCTGCTAGTTGCATTCTTCCTAAATCCAGGAAAAATTGAGTCTTTTTCTCAACTTTCACCTCACACTTGCTTTCCTGACTTCCTTGGACTCCTTAGTAACTGACTTTGAGCTACATGTCATCAACTCCTACTTGCAGGTCAGGCAATTAAGCGGCTGCTTATTCTTGCCAAAAGACTTTTTAATTATTTGTTTTGCATTTTAAAAGTGTCCAGGTAAGTAATTACTAGTTATATTCTACATTACTAATGACTTGCTACAATCCTTCACTATCTATCTGGAATTTGGGCAGAGAGAGGAACACAAGTTAATATGAATTGGTCAGACGTGAAGACAAATCTACTTCCAGGTACCTCAGTTTAACAGAAAAAGCAGAGCTGTTGGTAAGACCCACCTGGTGCCAGCACCTTGGTCTTCTGCCCTTTGAGCAGTTTCTGAACTCGAAGTAGTTGCAGGGAGTTCTCTCTCTTACGAGTGACGTCTTGGACCCATCGAGATACCTCAGAAACACACTTCACAGCCTCTGAAATTACAGCAGCATATTCTTACATGCTATTCTTCATCTATCTTGATGTGAAAAGAAAGGTGAAACTGCGAAATGACTGTTTTAAGCCAAGTATCAGCAATGAAGCTGCTCATTAATTTCAGCAGGACATAATAGACTTCCAGAGGCCCCTTGCAACCAATGGTTCTAAAAAGACATATGTTTGCCAGTGAGATATCAGACAAAAGATTTTCTGAATCTGAAGGAAAAAATAATTGCCCCACTGCAAGTGATGTTGACTGCTGATAGATGATGAAGGGCCTAGGAAAAATGGAAGGAAATGACCAACAGAGCACTCGTTTTTGGGATGTAACCTCTAGAGCCTCTCCCCTGCCTGGTGCTCTCCGTTGCTATTTCCTGTACCTGCCTGCTGGGATATAGCTCTGGATCAAATGGTGATAGGAAACAGTAATGCCCTAAAACCTCAGACAGAAAAGGGCTTTTTTTTTCCCTGTGGAAAGCAGGCAGCAGCTTAGAATCAGCAAGGAGTTTAACTGATGAAGGTACCAGCATTTACCGGGAGGAACATACTTGCAAGTTTCTGGTGCTCCGTGTTGTCTGGGCTCGTGTTCTCCAGCAGGTCTCTGAGAAAGTGTTTGTACCTAGGACGAAGGAGTAGTTTTATTTCATAAAGAGACACCAGAAAGAGCAGTTTGCGAAAGATGATGATTTTTTTTTTTTCCAGGCTATTCAATCTGAACCTGAAGGACCCAGTCACCCCTGATTTCAGCCCTGTTATCCTCAAGGTATCTAATAAACTGCCTCCCCTTTTTCATATGTCTATCGCATTATGTTCTTCATGTGAGAACGGCGCCTTCTAAAGGTGGTCTCTAACCTACCTGCTTTCATCAAGAGCCTATCCTCACATTCCTGCATCCTGGACAACAGACCAGCTCTGCCATTTTCTGGACATGTGGTTCACTAACTATATAACTGATATATTTATTATATATAGTTTTGAAGACCCTTTGCTGCAATCCCCTTGCCACACAGAAGCCAGAACCAAGACAAAACCAGTGTGCGTCTAGAAAGAAAAATAAGAGCCAGGAATTTTCCAAACAGATCTAATCCTCCAATTTACAGCAATGTCTTTGTGATTGTTTTATATGGGCAGGGAACATATGATATTAGTGCTTCCATTGAGAAATAAAAACCCAATAGTTCAGAGAGTTTTGTCCATTACTGAAGACATTTTTATGTGAATGTTGAACTACGAGAATTTTATGAACCTATTCAACGTAGATAGTTGTTTCTGTCATCTCTTGTGGTTTCCAAATATATGAAGTTAACTTCACTGCTAAATATGAAAATGAAATGAGTGCATTCAAAGAACTGCGCTGCAGAGCTGCGGTGATGAGGAGCACTCGGATTTGCCTACTCACTGGTGCAACCTCTGCAGGGGCAAAGGAAGCAGATCCTCCAGCTTCCTCCCTTGAAACTGAGGTCGGGACTCCTGGAGTTTCTTAAAGTGTCGAAACGACTTGTTCTTCCTCAGCTGCTCCTGCATGGGACAGAGCACAGAGCTTGAGACCGCGGCAAAAAATAAGCACAGGCTTTAGTGCTCTGTGCCAGAACTTAGAAAGTGGAACTGCAGTCCTAAACAGCAGCACCAGCTACAGCTTTTGTGGCCATGGACAAACTGTTTCCTTTCTCCTAACCACTGTTTTCCCCAAGGGAAATGTTAGTGACATCCGCTGCTCGTGTACAGCAATATGAAGCTAGTTTACATCACACATAGAAGCAAAGAGGAAAGGAAGGGTAGTTTACACAGAGAAAAAGCAGAGAGTCCATCAGTGGCTTTTATCACTCTTCTCAAAGCAACAAAGCAACACGACTTTGTGCTTTTATTACTTCAAAGCAAGAACCCAAACTGGCTTACTTTTCTTGTTTTTCACATCAAAAATGAATGTGTATGAATACAAGCAGAAAAATATTCTAATATTTCCTACAGCTGAGAACAAGCTCTGACGAACTTGTAGTCAGGTGGTATGCATTCCAGGTAGAGTTTTCAGGAGCTCAAAATATATCCTTCCGAAATCTCTTGGAAGACAGAGCATCTGAAGAGGATGGTGGAAACGGGTGAAGGAAAAAATAAGCAGGAAGGGAGGGAAAGTATTTTTTTTCTATTGTAGAAAAGAATAAAAAATGGGGGAAAGAGAAAAGGATATTACATTGGAGCCGTTAGTAAAGCTCTGCTCCCCTCAAAAAAAAAAAAAAAATCCTGGAAAAAACGAGCACCAAAAATTTGAAACTTTCAAGTGCTTTCATCATGACAGAAAGAGTTGAGAATGGCAGCAGCACAAAAAGAGGAAGAAAACTGATCACTCCAGAAACAGAAGCAAGAGAAAGGGAAGAATGTGGCTGTTCTGGAAATAGAAAGGGGAAGGAAAGAGAACAGGACACAGGAAACGTTTACCTTCAAGGCTTTATCTGCCTGCTCCAAATTCTCAGAATAGTGGCCATAAAGCTCCAGCTTCTGACATAAGTTTTCCAGTCCTAGTTCCAAATTCCCTCTTTCCAGGTGAAGTGAGAAAACCCTGCACATGGGAGGAAAGAAAACGATGGAGGGATGCGTCACTTACCGCATTTTCCCAGTTCCCCATGGTTAACTCCTACCCTGAATTGTCAGGCAACACCTCCCATCCAGTTTCCATCCAGAGTGTATACATAATGTACGTAATGTTACCCACAGAAAGTCTTCCTTTCAAAAACGTACTGATTAACTGAGTTTAAAAGTCACTGTCCAGACAGCAACTGGGTATCCAAACGTGTGGATGGAAACGAGCAGTTACCTGGTACATCTCCGAGTGCCACCAAGGCTCAGAGCAGGGCTAGGCGTGCATGCCTGCTTCACAAGGTGCTAGGTTTACTTCCCAAAATCTTCTTTCCTCATGAGTATAGAATCCTCCCACGTAATTACAGGAACTGTATCAGAAGTTCACTTACTGGCTGGCCGAGTATATGGATTCTAGGGGTCCAAATATGGTTTCCAGCACAGCAGGCTTGAGCGTCCCTTTGGCCTTTAAAATTGTCACGAAGAACTAAGTAGGAAAAAGAGAACTTATCAAAGAGTTAACACCGCTCTGCAGTATTGACTGGGTCCGTTTCACTGTTCCTCAAGGCACTTGTGTTTGACCACGTTTGTTCTCTCTCTTGGTCTCCTCTGTGTCCCTCTGTTCCACAGATCTCAGGTGTCTTGAGCCATGTGCCCCATACACCCCCAGCTTTGTGACTTATGTCTGCATATGGACAAAAGCCAAGGGGCCAATAAAACACAAGCCATCAGATGTCACAGAGGAGGGAAAAATACCTTTCAACCCAGCAGCGTGAAAAGTGGGGACACGTCCCACGCCACAGACGCATCAGATTGTGCCCTGCGACACATCCCCATGAGGAGCTGCTGCCCCGTATCTATCCCATACCTGACGGAGCCGGAATACTCACGGTGAGCACCAGGTCCAGCTGCTCGAGGTACCTGTGCTCGCTTTGCAGCAGCTCCTTGGCCGCCCGGCTGCGCTTCCTGCCCCACCGGGCCCTCTGCTCTCCCACGGGATTTACCGCAGCCGTTACCACGCGGGCTGAGTCGCCCATGGCAGACACGGTGCAGAGACGTACCCTGAGGAGCCAAGAGAGACCGACACGTGACGAATGCAAGACCCGCATGGAGCTACACGTCCACGCGTTGCTGCGGGAGGAGGAGCTCAGTTAGCAGCTTCCCCGTGCGCTCCGGCCTGCGGGCACAGGGCCCTGCTCCAGCCGGAGGAGCCGCGTTCGGGAGCTCAGGCTCTGCACGCGAGAGGAACCCCACGTTGCAGCAGGGCTGTGAGCAAATCCCAAGCACTCAACCCCACACGCGTCTTCTAGCCCACAGGCCGCTGCCTCCTCTGCCTTGCCTAATTCTTCATGCAACAGTCTCATTAAAAACTCCAGGAAGTTAGTGGGTGGACGCAGAAAATAGAAGTAGAAACCAGCCATAGGATTTCTCTGGGGAGAGACACAGAGATCTTGGGCGCTTTTCCCAGAGCTTCTCTGAGAATTTGGTGATTTTTCTGATGGTAGTTTATGGTCTCAGAGATGAGGAAGACTGAAAACTGCTGTGAATCTCACAGTCCTTGTCAACTGGCTTCTGGCTAACTGGCTGCTGCAACAAGGGGGTCGTGGGTTTGTTATGTGTGGAAAAAAGATTGTTTCCAGAGGAAGAGCCTCTGGTTAACAGTTGGTTAAATATCCCCTGCAAAGGGTCTGGCTCCCGTAGGGATGGGCTGTACTCCTGCAGAAAGGGGAGGGAACTTTTCAGATACAGTCTGCCCTCCACAGACATTTCAGGCACCCGCATGTAAGCCGTGTAGCACCCAAAAGGTCAACATCTTGAGCCAAAATACAACAGAAATCAGGGGAAACACTAAGAGACAGTCACTTGACGGGCTAGCAAAAGTCTGGGTAGCTGAAGGGACACAGGCAAGGCTTTAAAGCAGCAAGAGTTTCTCCAGAGGTTTATTCCCACAGCCATCAGGAAACAAGTTTGCCAGTCTAATAGGGCAGACGTGAAGTCTCGTTTAGCCAGAGAGATCAATACAGATAAAGCTGATAACAGATAAGCAAGAGCTCAGCACCAGTGTGAAGTCACAGAGTGCTCACAAATAGGGCCAAAATAACCACTCTTAGAGTATTTTTAGCCCGGGGAGGCTGTTGTCGTGATTGTGGACCCTTTACCACCTTCGGCATAAAATACTTCATGTAGAGATGACACGAGCAGGTCAGCTTGCTGCTTTCCAGGCACAGAACAGAAGCTAGGATTATACTTTATCTGTACAGTTAGCTGCTCTGCGATCTGATAGAAACACTGCCTGTGACATTGCTAGGGTTTCTTCTTAATATTTTAATAGTCTTAAAAAAAAAAAAAAACTCTCTTTATTGCCTTAGCCCAACCACCCCTGATATCTCTCTGCAGCGCAGCAGGTCAGTGCTAAGGGCCACGTGCCTCGCACCAAACCCTGTCTCCAAAGACAGTGACATTTCCAGGGGCTTTCAGCCACGTGCTCCATTCCCTGACTGTCGTATCCCAACCAGGCGGAAACCAGTGGGGCTTTTAAGGCCAAAACGGGTCAAAGAGCCCTGGAGGACAATGGACACGCAGCTGGGCTCCGGGTGTGCGGAGCAGAGGGCAGATTCCTGGCTGGGCTCGCGGGGTCCTTTGATTTGGGCCCCTGCGGCGAGCAGTTGGTAGCACACACATGTGCTGAGTGTGCAGGGCCTCTGCAGAGGTCCCATTATTTGGGCTGTCTCCAAAGTAGGGCAGCGTGTCCATCAGGGCACCCACGCAAGCCTGAGGGGACGTTGCTCCATGTCCTCCTCCACTTCCCCATTTTCACACGTTTTGACTGTCACCTTCTCCCCTCTGCCATTCATCCTCCCCGCGAAGGAGACGGAAACCTGGGGCACGCGAGGAGGAGCTGCAGGAAGGGCAGCACACGGCCCGGGCACCCCAGGCCCGGCGGCTTGGAGCCCTGGGCCACTCTGCCCTCCAAGGAGCGGCAGCCTGAGCCCCACGGGCCTCTGCCCCACAGCGGCGCCGCTATCCGCAGCCTCCTCCTGCTTTTGTTTAAAACCAGCGCCTCCCTTTTCCCGCCTGCGGTGCTGGGCACAGCCACCTCCCACTCCGCACAGCCGCTGGGTGCTGCCGCGGGTGCCCACGGGGCCAGCAGGCCTCGACTGGACTCGCAGGAGCCCGGGGCACAACCAGGTGCCCTAGACCCGAGGTCTCGGCCCCACGACCTGCTTCCCTCCGGCTCCCGGGCAGCGCAGGGGGCTCAGACCCACGGCAGCCGTCTCTCCTAGCAGGGTTGAGGAGCAGCCTGCTGCCCCACAGCTCAGCCCGCCTGCTCCCCACAGCTCCTACCTGCCAGCCCCACAGCAACTGCTGCCCCACAGCTCCTGCCTGCCAGCCCCACAGTGACTGCTGCCCCACAGCCTGTGCCCTGCAGCACCCACCGCATCTTCCCACCAAACCCACATCACCCCCTGCCCCACTGACCAACCTGTCACCCTATAGCATCCACTGCCTGACAGCACCCGCTTTCTGGACGCACAGCACCCATCACCCCATAGCCCGGCCTACTGCCCCACAGCCCGACCCAGCGCCCCGCAGCACCCGCCGCCCCACACCCCCCGCC